CCATAGGAAATTAAAATTTATAAGGAATATAATTAGATCAATTCATATTACTTATCTATATAAAGTAGCATACAATTAATAAAATACACAGAATATATTTTACATGCTGCTTTTATCCATTAGGATCCATATTCAACATTTGGCTTCAAACAAAGGGAAATTGGGACAAAACAAGTAACTCACCTTATATTATTAGTTTCTGCAAACATACCACATCACCTCACAAGGTTAACAGTATTGTTAACTTTTCTCCTTTTCATGTGACACATTTATTGGCTCTTTTCCCATCAACAATCATTTTCTTGTCCTTTTATTTATCATTAATTTCACCCAGATCTTTCCTTCTAGTATAAGATGTATACCTTAGGAGATATATCCTAAGACTAGGATATATTTTGAATGAGAAGTAGGTAATCCTTCTTCCTACCTCTTTTATGACTCACCCACATTTCTGTTGATCTAGGTCAAAGGTGAACTTCGCACATATCAAACTTTTCATGATCCAAGTCTTATAATTGGAATAAGAAATTATTCATGGAATATATATTTTGTGCCTAGTACTGAACTTTTAAACCTAGGAGACAAAAAAAAAGCATGTGTTTCTCTTCGTTTATAAAATTTGTCAAATTTGAGAGCAAAAAGGACAGCTCGTCAAAGACCAAAACATTTTGAAATTCATGTAAATGTTTAATTTGGTATTGGTTATTGAGATTATAGGTCACCAAAATGTTTATAATGAGAAAAAATAGCTACCTGTCCAAAAAAAAAAAAAGGAAGTACTACAGCCAGAAACAACTAAATAAATGTTGCAATTAAACCGAAACAATAAGTAAAGAACAGAAGCAAACAGAGCATTTTGAGACATTTCTTTCTTGAAGCACTGGGTAAAGACTAAAAATAAAGATTTAAGGACTTTTTCAGGTATTCAGCTATTTGATTTATTTCAATATCTTTAGATTATTTGCCATGATTAAATTTATTCTAAAAAATGCAGGTACTGAAGAATAAAGACAAAAGAATAAGAAAGGCTTATTTGTGCCAGATACAACTAGAGATTTTGTATACCTGCAGGATCTATTAATAACAAAAAGGACACTGGATGTAACATGATATCCCTTCTGAAAATGCTACAAGTAATGACCATCCAAAATCTTTAATAAAAATATGGAGATATCACACACATCCTTATTACTACCTAGACATTACACACACAGACTCCCATCCATCTACACTAACAACACAAATCACTCAAACACATTATGTGCAGCGTACCACACATACACTCACATATACACACTAAAACCTAGTACGCTGTTGGTAGGAATGCAGACTGGTACAGTCACTGTGTAAAACAGTATAAAATTTCCTCAAAAGACTAAAAATGGAACTGCCTTTTAACCCAGAAATTCCAATGCTGGGATTATACCCTAAGAATCCTGAAACACCAATGCAAGAGAACCTATGCACCCCAATGTTTCTAGCAGGACAATTTGCTATAGCCAAGTGCTGGAAGCAACTTAAGTGCCCATCAGTAAATGAGAAGACCACAAACAAACAAACAAACAAACAAACAAACCCTGAACCTGTGGTACATTTACACAATAGAATACTACGCAGCAGAAAGAGAGAAGGAGCTCCCATCCTTCATGACAGCATGGATGGAACTGGAGAACATTATGCTAAGTGAAATAAGCCCGGGGTAAAAGATAAATACCATATGATCTCAACTATAAGTGGAAACTAATCTACAAAGCAAATAAGCAAGTTAAATATAATCAGAGACATTGAAATAAAGAACAAACCTACAGTAACCAGACGGGGAGGCGGGGATATTGGGAGAAAGAAGGGGAAGGGTTATCAAGCAACATATATAAAGGACCAATGGATGAAGCCAAAGGGGGGTGTAGGATTAGGGTGGGAGGTGGAGATGGGTGGGGTGGGGGAGAGTGGTGAAGGGAAAGTGGGGACAACTGTAGTTGAACAACAATTTTAAAAAAAGAGTAAAAAATAAACCCTACATTAAACACCACACATCACACACATGCTCCTTAATCCCCCCAAATTGTAGAACTATTTTCAAAATATACATTTTCTCAAAATTATAGATAATAAAAAGTCAATAGTTGTGGAAAGTCAAATAGGTAATTTTAACCTAAAGTACAATGTGCACATTGTTTTTCATAGAAAATGAATTTTCTTTTATATGTATATGATGTAAAGTGTTAACCATTTTTTTTTTTATTATTGTGACTTTTAAAATAGGTCTGCTCTAAGATTTGGGTCAATAGAAAGAGGACACTTTAAAATAAATAACATAAGTAGATAAATCAGAAAAAGAAGTCTGATTAAATAGATAAATATGATATACCATGCGTTTATGATTGAGAGATTTTAAAAACTGTTATGTCAAGAGGGAATTTACAAACTATAGCTCTGACATAGCAAGTTATTTATTTGTTTATTTATTTACTGTATCTTAAAGGACAAGAGAGTTGTTTAGGCACTAAAAAAGTTTAGATCAAGAATTCCTAGGTGCCACCCCAAGGGTCTGATTCATTTGATCTAGGTTGGTCCTAAAAACCTTTATTTTTAACAAGTTCCCAAGGTAATCTGTTAAACTAGGCAAATTTGGTCACACAAGAAGTAGTTGTTAACAAGTTTTTAGCAGCAGAATTATGATATTAGCAACCTTTACCTAAAATTCCAGCTCTGGCTCCTTGCTCATTTCTGTCCTGCTCCACTTTTCATTCATTTTGATAGATTGTCAACAGTCTATTTATATGATAGATAATCAAAAGCCTCTCAGATTCCCAAAAGTATCATCTACCTATCTTAAAGACATCCAACTGAAATTTGAAAATGCTGCCTTTTAACTCCAATGTACTCCCACTTGATTGCGATCAAGATGTAAGGGAAAAGTGACACACCCAACACCACTAGGGGTTGGAAGTTGTGAGGATATTGATCGTTATTTTTGTCTGCTCAGCGTCTGAGTCATTATCCTATATTTAGGAAATCCCTTACCTTATCAAACAGAACCTGTTCCAATATAGATGCTGAAAATACCAGAAAGTTACCTCCTAGCCAATGTGTGACTAGGGTCCAGGAAAAAGAATGAAGATTTCCTAGTCAGATCCATCTCTGTAGTGTGGTGGTATGGACCACAGAGGCGGTAGAAGCATCAGGGACAGTGGTCTTAGCAGCCACATGCATGTGGTATACACGGCAGTACCATTTCCCAGCCTCTGGGATAGGTTTAACCGCTTGCCAATGGAAGAAAATTTACTGCCTAAGCTGCAGGAGCAAACATGAAGATTATAACTTCCTTTCTTAATTTGTCTGCTTCTAGAACCTCAGACATCTCTGAAATGTGAAACTTTTGTCTTCTGCCCTCTGGTAGGTCTAAAAATCAGCTGCCCAAATGGAAACTAAACGTTAGTTCACTGAGTAGAGCAAACCAAAAGGGTAAGCAAGTGCTTAGTGAAAAACAAAAATGAAAACAAACAAAACAAAATAAAAACAAGAAACAAAAAGACAAAAAAACACTTGATATTTTCAAATGACAAACTGATAAAACAACAGAGAGTGAAGGAGGTCTAATTATTGGTGTTACTACTGCTAATAGCATTTAAAATTTTTTCTAAGTGCTATATATGTTCATCATATTTATTGTATATAGTACTCAAGTTCATTAAATAATTGTCAAGATCCTTTTTATGTGTTTTTCTTTTAAAAAAGTACCACTAGAATTTTCTGTTTCCTTTAAGGAATATAGTATTATTTTTAAAATTTCCATTCTAATATGATTTTAATTTAAATTAAAAAGACATCCAAATTGGCAAAACCTAAAAATATATTCCAGGACAAATATTCAGTAACAACAAATTGGTTATACTTATTTTAGTTCTTGAAATTCTAAGTATAGTAGTCATAAAAATGTTTAATATTTACTATTGACTTTCTGAAGAGTACAAATAAAAGGTAAGCATCATTGCTATATTCACAGAGCTACATGTCCTGCCTACCCAGCAGGTAGTGCTGTGTGATGAGGTTGGATTCCAAGCCTTAATACTGAGTCCTCATGGCCCAGAGTCTATTGTGGAACAAATGATGGGACGTGTGTTTCCATTTTGCATAGAGTTTTGGAAATAGTTGAGGAAAGAAAGCCTATCATTGGAGACTTCAAAACAATTACAAGTTAATATCTGATATTTTTAAATTAAACATGCATGAGAAATAAAGACATTTTATTGAAAAGTCCTTTCAGCGAATATTCAGCTCCTGGAGTTTTAAAACTTTCATTGATTGCCTTTGATGAAGTTGGGGGCTAACAAGGAACAAATAGTTTATCTGGAACTGTGCCAAAAATATACCTACGTATGCTCTTTGTTTTTGAATACCTAAGGGTTTCCTGAAAGTAGGAAATGTTAAGATGGGAAAAAGATATTTTAATTTTTTAGAGGAAAGAAAGGAAAGTGCATGACTACAGAATAATTGACTAGGCTGGTTCCATAAAAATCACAAGGGCGCTCCAAGGCTATTTTCTTTTTATATACTCCCTCCACTCCATCAGCTTTTTTCTTTCTCCTTAGATACTGAATTTCTTTCTTCAGGTTCTGGCTACATAAACTTTTGTGGCATATTATCTACATTGTATATGTATAGTATATACATATACAAGGTATGTTCATGAAACCCCTGCCAGTATGTGTACTAACATTCTCTCTCTCTCTGAAATTATATCTGACATTAAAATTTAAGCTTGAAGAGCAGTATAAAATATTCACACTAAGCAGTATGTAATGTTAAAGAAATAAAAAATTTCCCAAGTTGAAATATAACAATGAAATTTTAATTGACAGATATAGAAAAGGAATATGTCTTTCGACAGGGATTTGGACAAGTAGAAGCATTATTGCATATGTTCATTCATTCATTGCCTAAGAAAATGTCCAAGACTGTGGATTGAAGAACTTCATCCTCTAGATGTAATGTAAAAATGGATGTGTGCAGAAGCCATAGACTAGACTTTATGATTAAACACTTGACTCATGAAACTAATATTTCTTGCAAAACAGTCTCTGTTATTAAATAATGCAACCAATGATCAATCTTACATAGTAATCGGTCTTCTGAATTAAACTGATAAGAACCGATACTACACTTGATCTTAGCCAAAAGGCCAAGAAGCAATTGGTCTTCTGAATTATATACATTTCTCAAACCTATCGAATCTGAGGATCATGATCTTTATAATTCACAAAGGTTAATTTCAACTTCAGATAACCAGGATAGCCAGTAACTCTCCTCAAATTCCTCATATTTAGGGAGTTCATTTTAAATTGCTAGACCTCCCTTTAGACTAAGCTCTTTAATGTAGCTTCATAAGATTTAGCTAGAATCACTTGCTTGTGTTGTTTATTCACTTAAGTATTCAATAAATATATATTGAGCACCTACCACCCTAAAAAGGTATTGAAGATACAGCATTAATTAAAAATATATACATACAAAATATATATAATATATTTATATATGATATATTTATATATATATCATATATAAATATATTTATATATTTATATTTATATTATATATAAATATATATATTTTATATATTTTGTATATATAAAAACATATATCTATAAAGTCTATAGGTATACATAGGTATATATTATATATTATACATATATATAAAAACATATATATAAAAAATCTATAGGTATGATACATAGTCTTTTCTTATCCATTTCTTTTTGAGCCTTTAAAGAAAAGATTAAGATTATATTTAAATTGTATGCCTTAATTATTTTTAATATATAGAGGGTAAAAAGAGTTTTCCATGAATTTTGCTTATATTAAATACTACCTAACCAAATATATTTTGATTAAAGAATCGAAAATAACAGCTTTAAATGTTAAAATTTAATGTGCTTTCCAAAATGCAAGAACCATTTATCTTTGTTCAAAATCAACAACTGGCAAAGCATAGGATCTCTAAAATAAATTGGAGATGTACATTATAAAATCCTTCTTTCACATAAAAATCTAAACCACACTGGATTAAGAAGTAAAAAATTAAACAATAAGAGGTCCAAATGACTTCTTGTTTACAAAAAAAAATAATTATATGTTGCAGTTGTTTAACACAGCATGAGCACTATTTAACCAGACAATTTTTGTATTTATAAAATTATTCTGTATAACCTTTGAATCTAAAGTTCAAAGAGAGAGATTGCTGTTAAAAGAATAAATAATATAATTAATGTGTTTCCCTTGATTATTCCAGTCCATGGTTATTAAGATCATTATTATTTCATAATTTTACATAGCTTCTATAATTTACTCATTGACCTACTAAATATACAAAATATATGATAACATTTCTGATTAGATTCCCTTGAAAAATTATTCTGCATTAAGAAGTATTTACAGAAGCATTTTGATTCACCTTGCTCTCTGTGTAACCTGCGATTTCTTTACCAATGTAAAAATCACCATCATTAATTTATATAAAATCTTATTCTTTCCTTTCTACTGGACTTGTTAATCAAATAATTTAAAATATTTTATTACATAATATTTCAAAAACTGTTTTACTATATATATTTTGCACTTTTATTTTAACTTTGACTCAACACTAATTCTGTGGTCTGTTATATCTAAAATACCATTTATGTATATCCTTAAACATTTCTATTGAGTTCTTTCTGGGCAGATATGTTTGTATTGTTGCAAAGATACATAGTTAGCCAAGTTCAAGTCACTAAAAATCATTACTTCGAAATTATAATTCTGTGAGCATTCTCTCTGCTTCATGTTCTCACGAAACTCTTTTAAATTCTCTATTTCTTCCTCAAGGCTCACTAACCAAAAGAAATTATCTGGTGAGAGTCCGTGTGTGTTATGCATTCATTGCTCTTTCAGTGCAGGTACTTGATTACCAGATAAATACTGATTCCCATCTTCCCTGAGCACCTTTCATCCTCTGCAGTATAATTTTACGTTAAAGTTTAGAGACACCACAACTGGATAACATAAATCTATGCATTATATCATTTAAGCTTTGACTATCTATTGTAGCCTGTGGGGGGAAAAAAAGCCTTTTTCTATTCAGCAGTCTAAATTTAAAATCTAGAAAGATGACCAGATGTTCTCATTAAGCTTTAAATGAATAACATACATGTATACCATTTCTTTCTTAGGCATAATATGCCCTGCAATTTTAGTTTTAATTAAATATGGATTTTTTTACTTAGTTCATTCTCCAGATAGCTACACTAACTGTAATAATATTCTTAGTATTCTCCAATGCCATTGAATTTTTATAGAGGCAATGTCTCACTGTGAAACCTGAGCTAGAAATGTACGACATTTATGATCCCTTCACACAAACTGAGAGCTACTAAAATGAAACATCCCCTTCAAATTTAACCCATTAAGTATTACTGGCATGGGGAAAATTTATAAAATTTATAAAAAACATATATTACAATTCAGACCAAAGGAGAATATTTGTCTATATCTTTGTAGGTATTCTTAAAATATCTCTAATGAACAAAATAAACTGAAAAACAAAATAAGACCAGAGGAATGGACACATGGAACAGACTGACAGATCTCAGAGAGTAGGCAGGTCGGGGGAGACTGGAAGATATTAGCCAAAGAATGTATATGGATATGTGCATAGTTCATGGACCCAGACAACAATGTGGTGAAGGCCAAGGTAAGTGTGGGCTGGTGGATGGGGCAAAGAGAGGGGGGTGTGGGGACATATGTAATAGTGTAAATAATAAAAAAATAAGTAGAACAAAATCATTAAGATAGTAAATTTTATGTTATATACATTTTACCATAATTTTTAAAAATAAAGGCAAAAATACTTATAGTATAAACATGATGTCATAAAAGTTGTTCAAGCTTCACTGTAAATCAGCAAAGTACAGAATGGAAAGAACCCCTAGTTCACTGAGACACCTCTAGTCACTCATTTTTTTTCCATAAAGTAATTAGAGCATCAATTATATTCCTGCAACTGTGCTGAGACCTGAGTTATATAAAGGACACGTGTACCTGTCCTGTAGTGTACAAACAGGGAAAACAAATAAGCAAAGGATATAATCATTACTCCAGTAAATGTATGTGCAAAGCACTAACAAAGTTTCACAGAAGAGGTTTTAACTGAGCTGGTGATGAAAAAGCAGTTATATTTTTCCACATGGATAAGCCAATAGAAAACAAATATTTACATCCAGAGATAGTAAACAATCTAACAGCCAATGTTAACAGTTAAAAGCAAGGATTTGGGAAATAGGTTTTCTAGGTTCACATACAAATTCACAACTTACTAAGAGAGAACTTAGGAAAAGTTTTGTTAACTCTCTAAGTCTCAATTTCTTCATTTGTTAAATAGAAATTACATCATAGGGTCACTGAGGATACATCAGTCAACATGAAATGTATATGAAGTGTTTAGAATAGTGCCTGTTTAAGTGTTTGCTAAATAAAATCAGCAAACTTTAAGTCTTCTAAAATGTAAAATTTAATAAAAACTGATGAGACAAGGAGGTCATATGAAATTATTTTAAATATTTAAAGTGGGTATATAGACAAGTTGTTTTGAGCAGAAGAGTAATGCACTAGATTAAAGATGGTTCAAATTCTTTGTCACTTATCCTATTTAAGGAGTGGAGTCCACTAATTTCACTCCTTTAGAATCAAGGCTGAACAACATTGGTGAAAAGAATATGGCAAAAAAGATGTCAGTTCTTTTGCCTGTGCATTAAGAGACTGCCAGAATCCACTCCAAATTCTTTGAAATATTCTCTCTGGGACCCCTGAGTCTCCCTGTTGGAAGTCTGACTATACAGAAGAGGCTCTTCATAGACTCTCTGGTTGATTATCTGAGATGAGCCTAGTTTTTCAACTGTTACCACCCAGGCACAGATGTGTGAATGAAGTTACCTTGAATCCTCCAAACCAAAACTTCTGTCACTGAATAGCTCACAGTGAACTCCATCAATGTTAGATGTAAAAAACACATTCATCTCATTCCTGTCTAAATTTGGACCAATAAAATAATGAGATATTATAAAAATGGCTGTTGTTTTTAGTCATTATATTTTGGGGTAGTTTGTTTTACAAATAAATAATCTAACTGAAACAAGTGACAAAGTCAGATTTTCGTATTATAAAGATCATTTGGCCATAGTGTTAGCAGAGAGGACAAAAAACTGGGATTGAGTCCAGAAGCTGTAGAATGACAAGATTTTAATCAACTGAAAACTGAGATGACAAGAACCTCAACTAGATTAGTGTTATTAGATAGATATGAAGAAGAAGGGCTATTATTAAATTTAAAATAAAGGCTTTTTTTTCTGTATATATTTTCTTTTTTGCCTCTAAGTTGTTTCCCTGTTGAGTGCATACAATTTAGGAAAAGTGAATTGAGTGGCTAAAATGAAATTCAAGACAGTGAGCTAGAAAGCCAAAGTTTATTTCTTGTGCTCTAAGAAGATTCTTTAAAAAAAGCATTGCTTTGGTATTTGTTTGTTGATTTTATAGATAGATAGATATAGATGAAGATTTAGATATAGAAGATATACCAAGAATCCTGGAGAATTCAAATTATAATATTTTCATCATAAGTCATTGAGTAAGGAAGAATTCAAGATGATTGAAGAAGGCCTTATTATGGCAACAGACTCTTATGTTAAAGAAAAGAGAATAGATAAGTGAGAGTGATATGGGAGAACATAATGCCTTTTGAGTATTATTTATATTGAGTGGATTATTTTGTAGCTCCAAAAAGGTTACCCAGAACAAGTCATTTGTATTGTCTGACATTGACCTGCACCAAAGCCTTTCCCAAGAGGACCCAGAACTAACACACCCAGTGGCCAGCTTCAGATAACATCAGAGAAGAATACAATTAGCTTCACAAGCAACATATCCAGAGGGAGATTGCAGCAGGCACCAAGACCTTGCTGAGGCAAATTCAGCTTCACTGGGTCAGCACTTACAAAACAGTTAATGCACTATGGTCAGGGTCAGTACTCACACTCAGCCAGCCTGAAAATCAAACCCATGAATGAGCTACCCAATAGTAATCAAGACTCAATTAGAACAAGAAGGCTCTAAAACCACACAAGGGAGATTCCTAAAGCACCCAGATTAGGTAATCAAGGAGACTGT